GGGCTGAAGCTGACACGGGACTGAAACTGAAAAAAGAGAGGAGGAAGTTGAGGATTATAAAAGCTCTGCACCCGACTTCAGTACAGAGGAAGACAAACTAAATACAGAAATGTTTGGCAGTGGACAGGTAAAGCAGCATGGGTTTGAAGCTGGAGGAGGCTTGGAATTTCTTTGAATGAGAAGTGCTCATACTCTCAAGTGTCCATGTCCCAAGCAAGAGGAAAGAGTTTTTAAGAGTGAGTTCCAGATTGAACTCGAGTGGTCACCTCAAGAAAGAAATTATAGCTAAGCAGAAAGTGAGTGCGTAAGGAATGGAAAGCATAAGTGTGTCAGGAAGGGAACCCCAGGCAGGTGTGTGTAGCAATAAAGTGAACATTGCCAGCAGAAAAGTTATACATAACCTTGCAGAGTGCACCAAAGCAAAGAGGAGGAAGTCCTCAGGTGCATAGATAAAAAGTGAATCCCAAAGAAAAAGAGAAGGCATCCTGCTGTAAGGGTGAATAAGAAGTAGGAGATGGGATACCCAAATTAAGTGAATACATTGCACTGTTTCTAATCAAAATGGGGAGTGGAAATGATTTCAAGTGCTGTGGAAGCAAGCTTAAGCTTGCAAGTAAGCTCTTTAAAGAGCTTACTACAATAAAGTCAGATTCTTGTAATTTTACTCATGAAAATGTCACTTGAAATTAAAGGTCTAGTAATGAGTGTTATGTACAATCTACGTTTAGCAGTGAGCAAAAATGATACACAGAAGTTTGTATTGGCATACAGAAAGAAGAGAATACCTTTGACAGCCAAAGTGAAAGAACAGCAGTAAAAGAGAGTAAGAGAAACTAGTGGAAGAATGAAAAAACCTTCTGCTGCAAAGGTTGGAAATAGCTGAAGCCGAAAGCCTGGGTGTGAAGAACTGGAGTCACCTGTACAGCGCAGCAGAGAAAGGCCACTGCAGCCCTGGACCCTACTGGGGCTTTACAGAGGGGCCCGCAGAAGAACTACTCCTGTTGTTGAAGACGCTGCTGAGCCTGGGCTCCAGCCGGGATACCACAGCGTGCTCCTGCCGCTGGTGCTTGACCCGAGGCAGAGCCCCGGGGCACGGGTGCTGCAGCAGGATGGGCAGGGGGAGGTGATGTTGCACCTCCATCTCCTGGCCAAAGGCTGAGCTGCACGGGTTCCTGAGGCTTCCCGCTCCAGGAGTGGATGGAAAGCAAGGCAGGAACCTTGGGATAGGGAACAGGGATCCTATCCTCCAGCCATCCTTCCCCGGATTCCTGTAATTTCTGCCCCAGGGTGATTGAGAACTGGGTATGGGATCTCTGTGTGCAGCAGTTGGTTATGGAAAAAGTAATGGCAGGAAAATCCTACCACTTTTAGAAACTCACATGAATTTGTAGCATCCACAATGGCCTGCAGCAAGGAGCTCTGCAGCTTGCCTGTGTCTTGTGTTGTGCAAGGAGGTACCTCTTCTTGTCTGTATTGAATCTGTAACCTATTAAATTCATTCAGTGTCTCATTTTTATACCAGAAGAGGTAAAGAATGAACATTCCCTGGCTATTTCCTCCTTGCTGTGCATGGAGGAAAAGATCTTTATCAGTTCGTAGTGATGGGAATAGCCATGGCTGGCAAGGCCACATCGTCCTGTCATGGAAACCTGCACTATGGCAAGGAGGAGGGCTGTGCCAATGAGGGGATTTGGATGATTCCTTCCAGATCCTGTTGTGACAGAGTGAGCAGGCCCCTTTTGGACCCGTGTGGGAAACTGGGACACAGTAATGCCTGGAGTGGGGAGGGAGCCATCAGTGGCAGGGACAGTCATAAAGCCAGGGGAGTGTATTGCTGGATCTGAGGCTGCTCCCCTTACGAGGGGAAGGGATTGTTCATATGGATGAGAGGACATGGCTGTGTGTATCTGTCTCATGCATTTCTGTAGGGAGGCAGTACTTGGGGCAGAAGGTGCTGGGAGAAGGTGGAAGTCACTTTGTCCAAGGAGTAAAGGGAAACCCAGGCAAGACGTCCTGCTAAGGTGAGGCCAGAGGCCTTGATGGGTAGCTGTTGTGGTGTACCTGATGGACCATCTGTGTCTGAGAGATGAGACCTCCTATCCAGAATGAGAAGGTCAAACATGAGCACTTGCATGGCTCTGTTTCCAGGTCTGCTGGCAGCACCAGCCAGGCTGGGTGAAGGGAGCTGGCTGGCATTATCTGACCAGAGTCCTCTCACAGTCCATAGGACAGTCCACATCCTGCCCCTCAGAGGAGAGGTGCTCAGCCCCTGAGTACACCCATGGGTTTGAGGAGTTCGAGAGAACACAAGTGTGTGTGTGAGTGGAGTAGGCGCTGAGCTGGGATACATCTAAGGACGGTCCAGTGGAGGTGCAGCACAGTCGTGTTGAAGGGTAGTAGCTGTAAGTAGCATGGACAGGAACAACCAGTGCTCCTGGGAGGCAGGCAGTGCCCTCGGACAGACGCCTTTGCCAGTGTCAGTGCAGGCTGCATGCAGTCTCTTCTGTCTGGGCTCTTGGATTTCTTCAAAGAACTCTCACAGCTTGGTGAGAGATAACCTTCCTTTGCAAAAGCCACCTTTCCTATCTTACCGTATTTACCTATATAGCCATAAATTGTGTTCTTTAGAAGAGTGTCTACTAATTTGTGCTATGCAGTTACGAGACTTAATGGCCTGGAACATTAAAACAATTATAGCACTTTAGCAACCTTCCACACTTCTGATAATCAAGGCACTTTCAAGTGACAGCAACACATCCTGGTTAGTAGCTGAACTATTTCATCCTTGCATTCCTTTGGTACTCTTGGGTTAATGTTACCTGGTCCTGCCAATTTGTTACTGTCTGCTTTGTTGATATGTTTTCTAATCTCTTCTACAGAGATTTCAGCATGAAACTGATCCTCCCTTATCTTCTGTATAAAAGTGGATTCAGGGCACAGATCATCCCAAGCTCCTGTACAATAAACACTGACGTGGAGGAATTGTCTGAGTACTATGACACATGTGCTAGCCCCACAAAGAACTGAGTATTATTTCTTATACCTTTTGCAATGTGTGACCCAACCTTTTTGAAGATGTGCTTTCCAGTCTTAGTAGCTTCTCTTCTGTCATTTAGCCATCCCAGCTATTTTCTGTTTGGTTTTCTGTCATGTCTCTCTGTGAAGTTGTATTCCTTTGCTTTGAGCCTCCAGTATGGTATCTCTGGACACTCTTCATGCCATCTGTAAAGGTTTTTCACTCTTTTAGTACTTCATTCTTACTTAATTTACCTGGTTTGATATCAAGCGGAAGAGTATTGATCTTTTCATTTTATGTTGCTCTTTTTGGGGGAGGGGGGGTGTATGCTGAGTGTAAGTATACTGCTTTCTTCAAAACAACATTGTGAGTTGTAACAACTGCATACTATTTAGGAACAAACCAAGAGCTGGTTTTCCTACTGAAAGTTCCCAGATAGCTTTCTTGTGAAGTAAACATTGATAAAGTCCCAAAACGTAATGCCAGTATCTTGTCCTGAATGAAATGACATTTACTTGAGAATGATGTAACCTCCATTACAACTGCTCTCCTGTAGTTTCCGTGATTTCATCCTGCTCTTGTCAGTCTGTATCTTGCTGTAGCAGCTGATAATGCAGCCCTACGCTGGCACTTCCCTCTGTGAAGGTTCTGTTTTATTTAACACAATTAGTTTGCTAGTCTGGTTTGACTATAGCAAGAATAAAAGAAGCAGCTGTGATGAGCAGGAGCCTGGGGAGCCTACTCTGTAAGAGGAGTTTCCCTATTTGATCTGGGAAAATGAAGACCAGGAGGAGAAATGTGGGTATTATCTGTAGATATGGGTGTGTGTGTGTGTGTGTGTTTAATTAAGTTACAGTTTTGGCACAAACAGCAGGCAGGGTTAAACAGATAAAATATGCAGAGTGGCAATTAGTGAAAGTTCTTCCCCAGCCAGGACAAAACCTCATTTGTCTTAAGATGGAATATAACAAGCTCCCAGAAAAGATCCCAAGACATTGTACTGCAAGAGCAGGGACTGGTCTTGCTGAGCAAGGGACTGGTGAACTTCCAACACCATGCATCCTGAACTGGATGCCATGGAAAAGATGGAAAGAGTCTGGGGAATCTCGCAGCAATATTTATGGGAAACATCATCAGCCTTCCTCTCCTGATGTATTCCTGTGGGGCTCGGGAGACCTCTGCTCCCCTGGATCTCCATTCCTCACCCTTCTGCCTGCATAAGTGGCTCCTTCAAGTCCATTGCATGTTGCAGATGTTAAGGACATGAGAACATAGCTCCTGCCAAGGCAAGGGAGGAGAGCAGGAGACCAGGCATGCCTCGATGTCCTCCCAACAGTCTCCTTGCCCTCTGTGGAAGGAGCGGTGCAGTGTAGTGTGCTAGCCAGAAGCTGAGCTAGAGAAAGTCTGCAATACAAGTTGGGCAGAAAGAGCCCATGAGTGCCTTGTGCTTCGTATCTCGTTTTCCCAGCACCACCCCATCTCCAGACAGTTGGAGCTTTCCTTGGCACAAGCCAGCTTGATACAGACAGTCCAGTACCCCCAGCTCACAGTTAGCTGCTACTGAGTGGGGAATGGGAAACAATGGGTCCTTGCTTATGGGCAGAGGGTGCTGGCAAGGGGAAGCTGGAGAAGAAAAAGCCCAAAACGTGCTGCTGTGCTTTATAGGCAGGGACCAGTTGCTGTTCTACGTCTTTCATGAGGCTAAGGAAAACCAGCTGCTATTTCTTGGTCACTGTTTATGTTTTCATACAGTTCATTACATCACCGAGCTGAAATTAAATGACCATTTTAGAGTTGTTCTTTAGTAATTATGTAATGAGTACATTAATTTCTGCAACTAGTCTCAGACTTACACACTTCAGGGAACATTTTAATGACATAAATGGGGTAGCAATACATCACTCCAGTGTTAAAATCAATGCTAGGTGTCTTGGCACTCTCTGAACTAAGGTTATACATGTGTTTTCTTTTCCTTTATCCACAGTTTCACCTGGCTTTGCAGTCAAGTCCACACTGGCCTGGTGACCCACTTCTGTGGTCAGATTGTTGCAGAGTTTGAGAAGGAATTCCGGTACTTGTATGCAGAGTCCAGAGCAGTGACCAGCTTCTGTGTGCCAGATCCTGGAACATGCCCCTCTTCTCAGAACACCTCAAAAGTTGCCAGCTCCCTTTTAAAACCCCCGCAGGTGAATGATGTTGAAACCTCGAGCCCCTCCAGCAGCCTTTCCAATGTAAGCATCAGAAGCATAAAAGTGTCTCCCTTTCTGAAAAACTCCAACTGCAATGTACAGCTGGAAAAGCAAGATTCAAGCTCAGATTCTGGTAATAAGAAGGGGAAGGAAGACACATTTCTGAAGCTCGCTTGCCCTAAGCAACAAGGGGAACCACCAGACTCACCAAATAGTCCTCCAAATAAATCCACCCCAGCTTTGTATCACAAATCAAATCTCGTGACAGCAAGGACATTCCTGCCACCGGAGCCTTCCGCTGTCCTGAGCTCCAATAAACCTTGTTATCAAGGGGACAGTGCAGCTAACAGCAGCCACTGCTCCCCTCCAAGGCAGGAGCAGTCCCTGCAGTCCCTTTCAGAGGGTGCCAGTAGCAATGGGACAAGCACGAAGCAGAAAGGGCCTGCTGCTGCCCCCGGGGAACCGACCGCAGAGAGCAACAACACATTTTATGGGCTGGAAAAAAGACAGAGTCCTGGACAAGGAAAATTGGACCTACTCTCCCCATACAGCCAGCTAAAACGAGATAAAAAGCCAGGAGTTCCTTGCTATGATAAACTCACTGAGGACATGCTGATGGAAAAGAACAGCGCATATGGGGCTGAGAAAAGAATGACCCTCGGGCACAGTAAGCTGGATCTGATCACCAAGTACAACAAGTTAAAATCAAAACACATACACAGTCGGTTCGAACTCTGACCTGGGCCTTGAGGTGTCCTATGGTCTTATTTTCAAGTGGTTGCTTTTCCCCACCAATCATCATATCTGGAGCTTGAAATCAAAATATGGGTGCCAAATTAGTCTTGTTCCTGTTCAAAGGTGTCTGTGGTGGTTTTGATATATGCAGATGACTGATTTAGGTGAGATTAGCAAGTACAGTTCGTATTCAATTACAAGATCATGGCAAGAGAGAGAAAATGGCACAAAGATAATCCACACTTCTGTGCTCTTTTTACTCATTTCGAAAAGAACCATTTCCCCCAAAACTTGCAGCAAAACCGTTGCTATGGCTGGAAATGGTTTGGCCACTGTGGTCTTCAGAGTGAACCCAGGTTCTCTTTGTACAGAGCAATTTCTCTCCCTGTATCCCTGTACTGAAAATGAGATGGTCAAAGGCAGGGGAATGTTAAAAATAAAGGAGCTGTTCTGCTGGAAAGAGCCGTGTTGGGTCCGTTGAGGGAGTTGAGCACCCTGAGCATGGCCAGGACCCTCTGTGCTGAGCCGTGCTGGGAGGATGTGGGTAGCATGTCTGGGCACATGGCTGGCATCTGCATGCGGTTGACATTGGCACGTAAGTGGTGTCTGCACACGGGTGGTGTCTGTACTTGGTCATCTCTGAGCACAGGAAGCAGCTGACACGGTCATGCCTGGACACGGGTGGCCCTTAGACTCATACACTCATGGAATCAACTTGAGAAAGACCTTTAAGCTCATCAACTCCAACTGTTCCCAGCAGTGCCAAGGCCACCACTAACCCCTGGCGCTGAGGCCTTGTCTACACGGTGTGTGAGCACTTGCAGGGATGGTGACTCCAGCAGTGCCCTGGGCAGCCCGTTCCAATGCCTGAGCACCCTCTGGGGAAGGAATTGTTACTAATACCCAACCTAAACCTCCCCTGGTGCAGCTTGAGGCCATTTCCTCTTGTCCTACCACTTGTTACTTGGGAGCAGAGACCAGTCCCCTCCTGGCTCCAATCTCCTGTCAGGCAGTTGCAGAGAGCGAGTCAATACTGAGGCACTGGGGTGGCATCTGCACGTGGGTGACAGAGCTGCAGGTGGGTGCTGTTGTGCACTGGTGGTGTCAGCACAAAGGTGGTGCTTGGGCACAGGTCATGCGGGGACAGGGATGGTGTGTGCACGTGTGAGTGGTGTCTGGACACGCCAGTGTCTGCACATAGGGGCTGGTAGCCCACAGAGTGTCACAGAATCACTAGGGCTGGAAGGGACCTCTGGAGATCATCAGGTCCAGCCCCTGCCAAGGCAGGGCCACCCAGAGCAGGTCACACAGGAACATGTCCATGGTGGGGTTTGAACATCTCCAGAGAGGGAGATTCCATAGCCCCCCTGGGCAGCTCTGCCACCCTGAACATAAAGAAGTTCTTCCTCATGGTGAGGTGAAGCGTGTCGTGTTTTAGTTTATGGCCATTGCTCCTTGTCCTGTCACTGGGCACCACTGAAAGAGTCCGGCACCATCTTCCTGGCCTTTGGGATACTGACCTGCATGGATGAGACCTGCATTCCCCACTCAGTAGCAGCTAACTGCGGGCTGGGGGTACTGCACTGTCTGGATCAACCTGGCTGTGCCAAGGAAAGCACCAACCCTCAGTCCGCTCTTCTCCAGACCGAACAGACCCATCTCCTGCAATCCCTCCTCATCAGAGGAGCATCCCTTTGGCCTCTACCGGACCCTCTCCACTGCCCTGTGCCCGCGGTGGCACCGCCAGGCTCGGGGTGCCCGGTGGGGACGCTCCGCAGCCCG